GTCACCGGAGGGCGCCGTCGGTTAGTACTTCAAAGGCGGATAGCGGCGCCGGGGCCACGGGCGGCTCCGGGGCGGAACCCCCCCCCCCCCCCTGGGGGCGGGATGGGGGAGGGCGGCGACGGCGAGCGCGGCGGCAAGGGCGGCGGCGGAGCCGGCGGTGGCGGCGAGGCCGGGGGCGAGGGCGGCGGCGACGCGAGGGCGGCGGCGGCGAGGGCGGCGGTGACGGCGGCGGTGACGGCGACGCGAGGGCGGCGGCGGCGAGGGCGGCGGCGACGGCGACGGCGGCTGGTAGAACCAGCTCTCCAACTCGTTGCGGAAGCCGCACGCACGTTACGAGTAGTGCAGGGTGGCGCCCACCACGTACGCGGCCGTGCTGTACTCGGTGCTGCACGCGGCCGGGTCGGCGTAGCACCGCTTGTGCTCGCACCAGCCGGCGTAGCCGGTCGAGTTGCAGGGCGGCTCGAGCCCGCTGTCGTGCGGGTCGCACCCGTGGAGGCCGTACGTGCCGGGGTACGCGAGGCTCACGCCGTCCGCCGTGACGACCTGCACCTCGCCGCTCACGAGGCTGACGCCGGCCGGGTAGGCGGCGAGGCACGGGCAGTCGAGCGGCGGCGAGGGCGGCGGCGGCGACGGCGGCGACGACACGAGGGCGGCGGCGGGGAGGGCGGCGGCGAGGGCGGCGGTGACAGCGGCGGCTGGTAGAACCAGCTCTTCAATTCGTTGCGGAAGCCGCACGCACGTTACGAGTAGTGCAGGGTGGCGCCCACCACGTACGCGGCCGTGCTGTACTCGGTGCTGCACGCGGCCGGGTCGACGTAGCACCGCTTGTGCTCGCACCGGACGGGATAGCCGGTCGAGTTGCAGGGCGGCTCGAGCCCGCTGTCGTGCGGGTCGCCCCCGTGGAGGCCGTACGTGCCGGGGTACGCGAGGCTCACGCCGTCCGCCGTGACGACCTGCACCTCGCCGCTCACGAGGCTGACGCCGGCCGGGTAGGCGGCGAGGCACGGGCAGTCGAGCGGCGGCGAGGGCGGCGGCG